GCCATCTTAGCAATTAGATAGAGGAGCACTGGCTCCTTTTTGTTATGTGTGGCTAAGGGAGCTGCTTATTGTCAAATGTGTGTGTGTGTGGGAGTCCTGTGGGTTCTTGTATTGTGACTCCTCCTAATTGCCACAAAACAACAACTTTAAAGAGCCAAGTGGCTGGTGGCTGGTGGTTGGCAGCCAACTGTTGACTGCTGATAAAACTGAAAGTACGTGCCGTAGCACATCATATCTTCCCCCACCCAGTGTAACCGCAGATGCAGAAGCACTACTCGTGCTGGCATTTTCCACGAATGCAACAGTCGAGCGTCGGGGCATGCCCAAGAGAATTTACTTGGAATTGCATAGTTATTAAAAATTTTATTGGGTCTAGAGTGCATTCCTCCATAACTGCCACATGCGAGTACTCTCTTTCATATATCCATGGTTCGATTTAATTAACAGATTTTCTGTTATCTGGAAAATTATTGCCCGTTTGCCCGTGGTTCATTCTAATTGAATGGCCTCCGATTGGCTCTCCTGGTGTTTCGCCATCAAAGGCCACAGGCGTTGGCCAAGCGGAAACGCTGGCTATTTGAGAAATTTTTGCAATGGCTGCCTGTCGGTTTTTGGCCAGCAATTTGTTGGTTAAAAAAAAAAATAAATATCAAAAATCCACCAGCACACACTACAGCAAATCCCCGCTCCCCGCTGTTTATCAACATTGTTTGTGCAGGAATTTTGCTGGCTACTCGGGAAATTTGATATTTGTCTAGCAGACTTTACAGTGCATTCCGCCACTTAGGAATCCATTAAGCCGGGATAGATATATAACTCACTTTGTAGCACAATCCGTGGCTGTAATGCTGTGCCTGGGGGGACTGTGTCAATATTTAAGCTGAAAATGCGATTTTGCACAAAATTAATAACAGCTTTGGCTCTGTGTCTCTGTCTGCTGACAACGTTTCACTTTCACTTTGTTCATGTGAGTAGTCCACCTTTGACCCTGCTGCTTTTCAGTGGCATCCAAGCATCATGGAATCCTGTCGGTTGGGGGAAGCAGCAGCATCTGCCACAGTAGTGCCTTTTAACAGCCGGGAGCAGCTAGACAACTGTTTGTTGTGCGATTGGTCCTCACTTTGTAGTAGCTGCTGCTGCTGCTCCTGCTCCTGTCAATGACAGTTCTATGTGTGTGGCCATGGACCCCACTCAATTCTAGAACCATTCATCCGCTTTCAAGGAAACCAATCCCTTGTTAGTCGGCCCTGTCCTGTCCTACAACATCCCACCTGAGGGTTTAATTAAGAGTGCCACTTTGGTCGAGTGATTAAGTGGCTTTTAATGACGCTGCCGCTGTTGGTCACCTGCTGAACTTTGTTGCCATTTCGCTCCAACGAAGGGTATTTAATTAAGGCTTTAAAAATATAATTCGTATATAATCAGCGCACCAACTAAAAACCACTTAGACCATCATCCATGTTTGACTTTTTCTCGGCTTCTGTTTGTCAGCCTTTGCCAACAGTTTATTAAGTTTTTAAAGTCTGTTTTAAAAGTCTCTTTTAGGGTTTGTTTTTTCTGCATCCCTTTGACCGCCGGCGGCTGTCTGGTTGGTTGGAGCTCAAACATTTTGAATAAATATTGTAATTTCCACGACTGTGGGGCTATTTACTTGAATGCGTAAATAGTTTTCTGCATCCCCTTGGCATATTCGCTAAAAGAATTTCACACCATAATGCCACATTCTACTATACAGAAACATAATTACAAAAGGGGGTTTCCATTGCCACCCTCTATCTAGCTGTAGCTCCTCTTTGGATTGCTCTTTCCCCTTCATATTGCTGTATTGCTCTTTGGGATGCACTTTCCAAGAAAGGGACTGATGAGCAGGGAGTGCCAAAGAGGAATAAAAATGAATGCAATTCGTATTGTATTTTTTTGAAATTGTCCTTTTTATTCTCGCATCGCATCGCATCGCATCGAATCTTGCATCACATCTCCCCTCAATCATTTGTAAAAATATCTCATCTCTGAATAAAATTCCAAGTGGAATTGCTCTTATCTGATGGGTGGGAATGGGAAATGCTCGTTCCTGGCATTACCTAAGCTCAGTGTTGGATTGCTGTCGCGACTGCCACAGGATCCAAAGTAATTATTGGTGTTTCCACCTGCTCCAGTTCTCCATCACCCGAGTCGGGTTCCGCCACACTGGAGCCAGGATGGTCCGAGAGGTGACCATTGATGTTGCCTGTGGATTCATTGTTACAAGTTTCAGATAATTGAAAATACCCGTGGCTCGACCATAAATCGTTGTTGGTTACCTGCTCTAGACTGCTGCTCCTCCTCCTCGGTAATGGTGGAGAAGTTGGTCAGCCGCTGGGAGGTGATCAGGGGACTGGCGGCACCCATCAGACGCCGCGACTGGCGCTTGCCATTGCCGGATGCCTCGCCCAGCAGCTGTTGTTGCTGCTGCTGTTTCTGTTTCTGTTGCTGCTGCTGGGATTTGCTTAGTTTCTCGGCTGCTGTAAACACCACAATAGGCTGTCATTTTGGTGTTAGTTGGGTTGGTAAATAGACTCGGGGGCCACCGAAATACTCACCGATGTGGCGGGATTCTGCTGCAGCTCCGCTCGTTGGGCCCGATAGGCCTGGTACTGCGAGATGACGCACAACAGACAGTAGAGCTTTACGGAAAAGGGTATTAAAAGCTGTAATGCCATAGCTAAAGCCCACTTACGTTGAGGCACAGAATGAAAAAGTCTATGGTGAAAATGAAGCCCACAATCGGATCGAATATTACGCGACGGGATAGCGTCAGGTGTATCAGGTGGGAGCACTCGATGAGCAGATCGGCCAGCATGAAGCATATCCAGGGTATCAGCAACTGGCGCTTGTTCTGCAATCAAACAAGAATTAACCCAACAAAAACAGGGGAATGCCGCAATCCACTCACCCGACGTAGACCAAGTATCATCAGGCCCGAGGATAGCACCATCAGCAGGGAGCAAAACAGAAACAAAACGTTGAATATCACAGTCACTGCCAAAAGAGAGAATATAAATCACACGTAATTGAGTCGCTCTCTCGATTGTTGGTCTGTGGGTGGTTCCGGCACCAGGAGTAGCCTCACCTACAGTCACATCGCCCTTCTCCAGTATGCTCTCGCCCGCGGGCTCTGAGCGTTGCCCCAACAGAAACTCCTGCTCCTCGCGCACATAGAACAGGAACATCAACGTCGAGAAGCCAAAGTAAACCTGTATGGTATAATGTATAATGAAGGCAAAAACTTTGGTGTAAGGAATCTCCCCATCTGCCACCCCTCATCCGCTGATTGCATGCAATTCGACTTGAATGGGATTTATGTTAATAAACTCGCTTAAGGAATACGTATAACATACGTAACTGAGGAGTCTTAGGCTGCATTCGATTCGTATTCAATAAATTATGAACATGTTTCTGGGATTTAAGTTAAGCGAGCGAGTTCGAGATTTATTTGAGTTGATTCCCAACAGTTTTCCGCAGGACTTCTCTGAGAATTCCGATGAAAAAACTTCTCCAAGTTTAGTTTTTCCCGGGAATTATGAGAGTTTTCTTTAGCAATGGAGGCTTACCTCCAAGAATTATTAAGGGGTTTACTTGGAAATTATTATTGTATTAAGCTAAGAAATCAAATTTTCTTTTAGTTAAATCCTTTAAAGTTTTTTCCCACACTTCCCACACTGCTCCTACAACATCTTGGTTAGTAAATTATTAAGTATTTGTATACCTTCATTTGTATAATTAATTGCGCAATTGAGCATCAGAAATTATTCAGAAAGTTGTGTCTGCACCTCGCACATACCAGCGTATAGATGGCACAGGCGTAGCTGCCCATTCGCACATTCTTCCAAAAGCAACAAGACTCCAAGATGGCCATCTCTTTTTCTGTGTGGGTGTCTCTCACTTCACTTTCGCTGGGATAGCAGCAGCATTACACGAGGACCAAAGGGAGAACGGCAGCCGCCACTTTCACTGCGACTTTCCACACTTCTCGCTTGAGGGGCACTTTGTCTGCTTTCCCGCCAAACGGATAATTTGAACCTTGGTAGAGTTTCTTTCCGTATTCTTTTATTTATTTATTTCTGGGGGTTTGCTTTGGCTTGTCTTGTGGGTATTCCGTTTCGCAGATAAATCTGTCTAAGATATTTTGTGGCCTGGCATAGCCGCCGCCTCGCTTATCGTCGGACACTGACACATAATTCCATATACAAGACACACAGATTTATGAGACTGATTTATGTGGCACGACCGGGCATATTTATGTGGCCAGAAGTGTTCTTCGACCTCAGCACGAATCGTTCCGCGGCGAACCGTTGCCATTGAAAGTCGCGTCAGGACTGAGACGCGCCTCCTTCTGGGTGCCCAAGAAAAGTGGCTTCAGTTTCGAAAGTTCCCATCGCTTTTATGAATGAAAGTTCGAAATGAATGGCGTAGGGAGTCGTGGCAAGGTGTCCGTGGCAGACGCATGCGCCGCCATCCGCAGCCAGCAAGAGCAACAGGCGGTTACGTGCGTCCTGCATCCTGTGGCTGGGGCATACTAAAGTTGCCTTCCTGCCAAAAGCCACAAAAATGTGTGCTGGCATTGCCAATACAGCAAATTACGGCCAGGAATTAGCGCACGAATGGATTTGTGAACGCGTTTAATTAACATCAAGAGTGCCGCCTGCTCTGCACTGCAGGCGGTCCAATGAATCTCCTATGAGTCAGCCGCAGGCCTGGCGTTGGCGCCGGTGAGTCGGCGGGATTGTGGGCTCCACTTGCGGAAATGATAAGAACAGGATGTTCATGCAGTGGCCTGTAAAGGTTCCAAGTCATGCCGAATAAAGGATATTTCGGTGGGTTAAACAGGGCCTTAAACTATTGAGAGAAGAATATGTACAAAAAAAATCCCAGAAAGGTTTCATCCAGAAACAGTATAGTCAAAGGCTACGAATTTTCTCATTCACAATCAAAGAGTCAAGCTTTAGCTGTCATCAGAGATAAATTCTGTACATTTGGCTATGGAAAATAATAATAATAAGCAGCCAAATAAGAACAAAGACGACAAAGATGGCCGCAAGAGAGTCAGGAGCGAGAAAATCAACAATAAAAAGTCGTAAGTCGGTGCAATCTTTGGAAATACGTAATTCCCATTGGAAAGTCTTCAAATAGATTAAGAACCAGAGACACCGGCCAACAGGCTGGTCAATCATTGGAGGAGCTTCGCGTGAAATATAATGAAAAAATCGATTCGAATATTAATTTACCCTCACCGGATTCAAGGTCGGGAAATGTGTCGCGCCAGGGCTCGGTGTTTGTGGATCTTGGACAGTTTCTGGACTTTGATGATCTGCTGCCGCTGATTGGAGAGTTTGGATGGTTCCAGAAGCTGCTCTTCATCTTCATGATACCCTTCTGCTTCATAGCCGCCTTTGTATATTTGGGTCAGATATTTATGACGCTGGCGCCGCATAATTATTACTGCTTTGTGCCGGAGTTGGCGCTGATTGACAACGAGACGGAGCGCATGGAGCTCTCCATACCACGGGAGAAGGATGGCTCCTACAGTCACTGTTCAATGTACGACGCCAACTATACGGCCATTCACTTTGCTCTCAATCGCAGCATCTATCTGAATATGTCCTGGCCAACGATACGCTGCCAAGCTGGCTATGTCTTCGATCCGGTGGAAATGCCCTTCCGCACGGCCACCATGGAGTTTGGCTGGGTCTGCGACAGGGATTACTTTGCCACCCTCGCGCAGATGCTCTTCTTTTTGGGCTCAATTCTGGGTGGTCTTGGCTATGGGCGCCTTGCCGATCTCTGTGGCCGCATTACGGCTCTGGTTAGCAGCTGTTTCCTCGCTTTGGTCGGCAGTCTATTCACCTCGTTGGCTCCTAATTTTGTGGCCTTTGCGGCCACACGCGTGCTCGTGGGCGCCTCCTACGATACTTGTTTCACCATGATCTACATTCTGGGTAAGCAGCAGACGACACAGTGTTCCATTGCAACTCATTGTGTACTCCAAATCCTACAGTTCTCGAGTATGTGGGTCCCAAGTATCGCACGTTTGTGGCCAACATGTCGCTGGCCATCTTCTATGCACCTTTTACCATGCTGATGCCCTGGCTGGCGCTGAGCACCTACAACTGGCGCACATTTTCAGCCTTGTGTGCCATACCCATCAGCCTGTCGCTGCTCTCCTTCTGGCTGCTGCCCGAATCGGCGCGTTGGCTGGTGTCTGTCGGCCAGATTGACAATGCCGTGGAGCTGTTGAAGCGGGTGGCACGGCGGAACAACAAGACGGTGGCGCCCAGCGTCTTCGATCACTTCAGATTCAGCTGCCAGCAGTTCTACAGGGAGGAGCTGCAGGGGCGACATTTCGGCATTTGCTCGATCTTCAAGAAGCCTCGCATGGCCCGTTATATGGTGCTCATGATTCTCATTTGGATGGCCATCTCGCTGGTCTACGATGGACATGTGCGGGCCGCCAGTGTCCTGGACATGCACAATGTCTTTGTCTTCTTCAGCATTGCCTGCGCCACAGAGCTGCCGGGCAACATTCTCGTTATCCTCACTCTCGATCGCTTTGGGCGTCGCTGGTGCGCCTTTGTCTTCACCTGTTTGAGTGGAGTCTTCAGCCTCGTGGCTGCTGGCACAAAGAACTCCAAGCACATGCTGGGCGCGGCTCTGGCTGGCCGCTTCTTTGCCAACATCTGCTACAACATTGTACTCCAGTGGGCGGCCGAGGTTCTGCCAACGGTGGTGCGTGCCCAGGGTGTCTCCTTCATCCATACAATGGGCTATGTGGCTATGATGATGTCGCCACCAGTTGTCTATCTCTCCAGCGTCTCAACCTCCCTCATGCTGCTCATTCTGGGCATTCTCGGCCTGCTGGGTGGATTCCTCGCACTTTTTCTGCCCGAGACCCTCTACCACGATCTGCCGCAGACACTTAGCGACGGCGCTGACTTTGGCCGTGAGCAGCGTATCTGGCATGGACCCTGCTGTGGTCCGGGCTCGAAGCGTGTCAAGAGACCCCAACGTTTGTGGCATCAGGGCTCAAGTCTGCGAACGATCTCCCGCGATGAATTCCGTTCCACCAAAATGCATCGAGTGGCGAGAACGCGGGTAGCCCCGCGAAAAACGCAGATTTCCAGCCAAGACACGGTGGCCGCAGAGAAAATGATTCAAACCTATACCTTTGAGCATGGTCAAAAATGATAGGGAAATCTTGGAAGAAGCCTGGGGGATGTCCAGCTGAAGAACTCCACACAGATCTATTGACTGATGTTTGCTTGTAGGCTGTTAAAGTTTAATTAAAAACGAAACTCTGATTCGCGTTCGATTGTTTTTTTCTGGCATGTCCAACACATCGGTTCCACTTTAATGTCCGTTAACTTTTTCGCTACCAGCCAGACACTCGTTGGAACACAATCAGTTGAGTTTTTCGGCTCTTTGCAGACTGCTTGCAGAACCCCGTTTCGATGTTAACTTGGATTGTGACGGGTGTTTGCCTGTTTTATTTGCTCGTCAACTTGCTGCTGCTGCAGTGGGCAGTTGTGAAGCCTATGGCTCAGTTCAGCAACGATGAGCATCACTTGAATGCCACACTGGCAAGGATCCTGAAGCCCCGCTGGCCCGGCAGCTTGGGGCACTCGCAGGTGCGCGATTTCCTCCTGCAGGAGCTGCATGCGCTGGGCTTCCACACGGACCGGGATGAGTTTGTCGATGGTGTGGCCTTCACCAATGTGATGGGCATCATCAATCCGGAGGCAATGAATTTTCTGCTGCTCTGCTGTCACTACGATACTCCACACTTGACCGATGTCGCGGGTTTTGTGGGTGCCACCGATGGCGCAGTGCCGTGTGCAATTCTCCTGAACATGGCCAAGACTTTGGGCTCCTATTTCAGGGAGGAACTGCGGAAACGACTGGACATTGGTTTGGCAGTAAGTTTAATGGTTCACTGACACCTTTTGTGGTTATTTGTATTCCTTCCAGCTGGTGTTTTTTGATGGCCATGAGCCAATGCCCAGCGATCCGCAGAAATCCAATGTGCTGCGCGGCTCCAAGCGATTCGTCCAAATGGAGACACTGCCGCTAGAGAGCATTGTGAGTTGCTTAAAACAAAATAAACTGGAAATAAGTTAAAAGATCTTCCCCTTAGGAGGTTGCCATTGCCTTGAACTTCATTGGTGCTCCTTCCCAGGCATACATGAGCCACTACGACAGCACTTACAGACTGCACAATCGCCTGGCGGAGATTGAGCTGGATCTGCGGGAATCGGGACAACTCTCCCAGTGCCATTTGTTGTTTCAAAAGCTAAAGGATCACGACACTGATCTGCCCGACGATCATTATCCATTCCTCGATGAAGGTAACCTTTGGTCTATTAATTGATTATTTTATTTAGAACATTGTGTGTCCAGGTGTGCCCGTGATGCATTTGGCACCTTACAGATACCCGGAAGTGTGGCATACTGCGGAGGATAATACCGAGCACTTGCACTGGCCAACTGTTCTCAATATGAACTCAATAATGCGACAATTTGTTTACGAATACTTGGAGAAGCATGATGATGATACCACGTACCGTCTGGATAGTTAAATTGAATCCAAATTGAACTGATTTATGCAAAAAATTTCTAGATATCCATTAAACGTTAAGCGAGGTCATGCATAGCGATCAATCGATGGGTTCGTGCATCCGCTAAAAGCTCCTCTCCTCTCTGATCTCTTTTGTTCTCTTTACGCCAAAAGAGACGGAAACAACCGAAAAGCCACTGGCAAAATCATAAAGCGGTAAAGATTGTTTTTCTGGCGTCGCGCCAACTCAATGCGACGCCAACCTCCAAAGGTTACAGTTGTCAAAGATGGAGCTCGTTTTCACATCGCTGCCTTTGATCTGTGGCTTGTTCTGCCTCTGCCTCAGCCTCTGGCAAGCAAAAGCCCAGGCCCAAGCGGGCGGGAATGTAAGGGAGCATTGTGAATCATATGGTAAATCACAGTTGGTGTGTATTCACAGATTTAAATTTCAGATTGCCTCGACATGGACCGACGATGAGGCGCACTTCAACCGAACGCTCGACTCCATTTTGGTGCCACGCGTCGTGGGCAGCCGTGGGCATCAACAGGTGCGCGACTACCTGGTGCAGTCGCTCAACGGCCTTGGCTTCCAAACGGAAGTCGATGAGTTCAAGCAGCGTGTGCCTGTGCTGGGAGAGCTAACGTTCGCCAATGTCGTTGGCACGATCAATCCGCGGGCTCAGAACTTCTTGGCCCTGGCCTGCCACTACGACAGCAAGTACTTTCCCAATGACCCTGGATTTGTGGGCGCCACAGACTCGGCCGTGCCCTGCGCCATATTGCTGAACACAGCCAAGACGCTAAGCAGTTATCTAACAAAAGAGTTTCGCAACCGTAACGATGTTGGGCTAATGGTAAATTTTTGAAGCGAGACAGAGCCGCGTACCTTGACTAATGGTTGGGTTTCCTCTGCAGCTTATCTTTTTCGATGGTGAGGAGGCGTTCAAGGAGTGGACCAACGCTGACTCGCTCTACGGATCCAAGCATCTGGCATCTAAATTGGCTCGTAAACCCACCAGATCACAGTCGTCGTCTGCTGGCCAAACACAGCTGGCACCGCGTAATATCGATCGCATTGAAGTGCTCGTTCTGCTAGACCTCATTGGCGCACGTAATCCCAAGTTCTCCAGCTTCTATGAGAACACTTACGGCCTGTACTCCAGCCTGGTGCAGATTGAAAAGTCCCTGCGCGCTGCTGGTCAGCTGCAGGGCAACAATAATATGTTTTTAAATCGTCTATCCGGAGGCTTTGTTGATGATGACCACCGTCCGTTTTTGGAGGAGAGTAAGTTTGTCTTCACATCTCAGATAATTCCACAATTCTGATCTGAAATTTCCTTCAGATGTGCCCATTCTGCATTTGGTGGCCACTCCTTTCCCGGACACCTGGCATACGCCACGGGACAATGCCGCCAATCTCCACTGGCCATCCATCCGGAATTTTAATCGCGTTTTCCGCAACTTTGTCTACGAGTATTTGGTGCGACACACGGCTCCCATCAATTTGCGTTTCTATCGAGCATAGATTAGGGTATGTCTTATGTCTATCCTTTTATTATTCATAAGTGTATGCTGTTTTGCGTTATTAAAAGTGTCCTAAGGCCTTTGATTATCCTCTAGCGACGTTTGCGCCCAGCCTGGGCCTTTTTGGCAGGTGCACGCTGGCCGTGGTTGCCCTTGGGCTTCTTGCCCACCGCCTTGCGACTGCCCTTGCCCTTTGGCTTGGCCTTTCTGACAGGTCCACCCTCAGCCTCGCGCCTGTTGAAAGAGTGGTTAATGTTAAAGTTTCTCATGATTGAGTCAGGGTGGGGAACTTACGCCAAGCGATCTTCTTCCTTTTGCATTGATATCGCCTTGTCCACATTCAGCTTGGGCTTCTTGTGCAGCACACTCTTGATGAGATCCAAATTGGCCTCCCTCTCGTTGCTGGTAATGTGGGATGCCTTTCGCTTGCCACCCGGTATCAGTTCCTTTATGCCCAGACCACGTGCATCCTTCTCCTTGGGCAGCTTGTTCTGGAACTTGCCGACGGAGGCCGTCGAAGACTTGGCCACGGTAACCGCCGTCAGCAGCTGACTGGACGAGGCAGCTTCAGGACCCAGATAACCACTGCGCGGCATATCGACCTTCCTGGCCCGCACAATGTTCTTCATTCGCTGGATTTCGTTCTTGGCCACCTTCTCGTTGCGCAAATCAATCTTCTTTTGGAACATGTCTGTGTTGGGATCCGCATTCTGAGGCACCTCCAGGACCCAGTCCTTGCTCTTCTCAGCCTCGACATGCTTGAAGCCATATGTGGGCACCCATTTCTGCGAATAGCCAAAGATTAGTTTCATTTCCGATGAGGTCATTGCGGGGGCAACTTACATCCAGCGTTTCATCGTAGGTCTTCTTGTCGCGCTTCTTCTTGGTGATGCCCTTCTCCTTGGCAAACTTCTCCCATTTGGTGAGTGGACGCGGGCCAGGTACTTTACGAAGACGCGGCAGGACTGTGGTTGGTTCCGGCAGCTTGGCTACAATGCTCTCATCCACACGCTCGGTGGGCAACTCCCAAATGGCATTGAGCAGCAGCTGGGTGTTTTCTCGGGTGAGGGCAGTCAAGTACTCCTCTCTGTTGTCCCTGTGAGCAGTGAAAATTTGCATGTTGTACCGGTGATTTGTGAATTCCTAGGAAACACATTCTCATACCTGAGTTCCCGGTCATCAAAGTCGTTGGGATCTGTAATCAGTAGTGTTCCCACATCCAGGCGGCATTCCAGGTGCTTCTCTACTGTAATTGGTTTGTATTTTTCCAACTCCTTTTGGTGTTTGGCTAAAACTTCTTTGACAACATCCATTTTGAGGAGAATATAAACAGCAATTCTTTTTATACACGTGCTGTTTATAGGGATGTGAAAATTGATATATCAATATATCGATAACAGGATTTGTGAACAAATATGTACGATATTTGGTTGCGATAAGTGGCGCACATGGTCGCATTCGACTATTCAGTGCTGTAAAACGAAAAAAAAGTGCGCCTGCACAGTTCTGTGAATTATTATAATTTCTTTTTACGAAACCAACATTTCTGCTGCCAACGAGTTTCCGCTTCCTCTATTGTCTGCGGCAGAGCAACATTTGTGGTTTCTGGCAAAAATAAGACCAAAACAGCTCCAATCACCGCTAGTCCGGCTAGTATCTTCATGGGCAACGATGAGGAGTAGTCACTGGAGTACACCACAAATGGCGAAAGTACCGCTGCAGCGGCTCCCAAAATGTGTATGAGGGAAAGTCCTTGGCCCCGCACCACTGTCGGAAGGATCTCCGCCGCCCACTGCTCCCCCACGTTGTATGCAATCGTGACGCACAGTCGACCAAATATTGCGGCTATGGCGATGTCCCATTCTTTGGTCAAAAGACTGGCCAACAGGCTGCAAATCGAGCAGAGCAGTAAAACCGTAAACAGCATGATCTTGCGACCCGTGCGATCCATGAGGACCAGCGGAACTAGTCCACCCGGCAGCTCGGCCAGGTTTGCCAGTGAGAAGGAAATGAATATATCCGTCCCCACATTGGTGATGATCCTCACATGAGCATCGTAGACCAGCGCTATGATCATCCAATTGAGGATCAGAATTAGCACAATACGGCCCATTCGGCAGCTTTTGAAAATTTCCAGAAGGGTATACTTTTTAGCCAATTGCTCCTCATGGTAGGCCACTTCGCTGCACTGCTGGAAGGCGATAAGCACATCCTCAGGTACGGTTTTCCCATTATTCTTGGAAATTTTTCGGATTATTTTTAATCCCTTCTCAATTTTTCCCACCGACAGGAGCCACCTGAGGAAGAGCTACTTCAGTAATGCATGGAAATGGAGAGAGAAAACTTACCTTGGAGATTCGGGTATTATCAGGCACATTAAGATCAATATAATTATGGGCACTGAGGTAACCACTGCAAAGGTTCTCCAGCCGTTGCAGGCATACGCTATCCAGGGGAGCACACATGCACCCACCGTGTAGAAAGTGGCCAGCGAGAGGTTGGCGGTCAGCGTACGATATTGAGGGCCCACAGTCTCCATCACTAGGATGAAATGTCAGGATGAACTACATAAACCATTGAATGTAAACCCACTTAGTATATAGATGGAGGTAAAGCAGGTATCGTAGGACCAACCCTGCAGCACACTGGCCGCCGCGAAGGTGTAAAAGTTCGTGCAGGCAGCACTTAGAAGGCCGCCCGCTAGGGCACATGCATTGGCCAGAAACAGCGCGGGAATACGGCCCCAATGATCGGCAACGTATCCGATTGAGAGACAGCCAAATATGGATCCCACAAAGCCGGCAGCGATCGCGTAGCTGACATAGTCATCCTTTTGGCAGACCCAATTGTACTGCGTGGAAATGGTTTCATATGGCACCTGAGACTTGTCGTACATCCAGCCGTCTCGGCACTTTGTCGTTGGCCAACTTTCATTTGCAGTTGTGGCATTCGAGTGCAGCTTAAAATCGACATCGTACATGGAACACCGCTCGTACACACCGTCCGCATTTTTTGGTATTCCCAGTTCCATTTGCTTCGCTTTCGGGAGACCCTCCAGTTCTTGAATGCGGCACCAATGATTTTTGGGCACAAGTAACATAAATATTTGAGCCAAGTATATGAAAGCGAACATAAAGGCAAATGGCATCATGTACAGGAGAAGACGTTTCTGATAGGCGCCAAATTCTCCGATGTATGGTAAAAACTCATTAAAGTCCATGCATTTCTCCGACATTTTGAAAACGATTTGCTCGAGGCGCCAACTTGATAATTTTGATTGTTTGGCAAAAGCATCCCTGATGCACATATGTGTGTATGTGCCCGCAGCGACTGATATGAACAAACTTGACTTTTCTAAACAATCCCATCAAAGAGAGTCCTTGCAACTATCCAATCTTAGTTACAATTGATTTATTAGTCGGACAAAATTATAGTTTCGAGATTGAAAGTCTAAAATTGGCGGCAATATTAAACAGAATATAAAAATCGAGTAATATGAGCTGTTTTTTTGGTACGTAACTGTCGGTTTCCGATTGTACAGCGCTGATCGTCTTAGTTATCGAAAAATTGGCGGACGCGGTCGACATGGACGCGGATTTAATTCCTCTTCGAAAAAGAATAACAAATATCTTTAAGCTATGCGGCTTTATGATACGCTCGGAGAACAGCACCTATCTGGCCGAGCAACTGCTGCCCTTCGATGCGGATGAGCGGGACAAATGGTTGACTGTGATCACCGAAAACCTGCAGGGGCAGAAGCTGGCGACGCCGCATGTTGAGCGGGCGGCGCTTGAAAAGGCTATTAATGAGCTGAATCGTGTGGGATTGGATGAGGGCGAGACGGTGTTCGCTCTGATTGATGCATTTACAGTGCCCCGGTATCGCTACAACACACGCATCAAGAAATTCGAGCCTGATACGACGCCGCGTCAGCTGTTGAGCGCCCCGCGCATGAAATCCGACTATATGCAGCAGCGCTATGCAATGCTGCTGCAAAAGACACTGCGCCACGATTTGTTTGCTCCGGCGGTCATCCAGGACGGCGTCGGAGCGGAGGCGCAGGCTAAAAAATTCAAACTGCAGTTTGCAGAGAATTTGCTGGCCACCAACACAATGCGGGAGGCTGTCGTATTGGGACTGCTGACCCAGCTGAAGGAGGGCAAATTCTATGTGGAAGATCCTACGGGCTCCATCGAACTCGACTTGAGTGGAGCTCGCTTTCACGCTGGATTCTTCTGTGAAGGCTGCTTTGTGCTGGCCGAGGGCCACTATTCTAATGGCGTACTGAAAGGTGTGCCAATAGGTCGCATTCAAACAGATCACTAACCGCATCTTTTTTCCAGTTGATGGCCTGGGATTTCCACCTGCTGAGCCCGCTACCAGCAGCCGCGCCTTCTTCGGCACAGCCAACACTTGGGGCGGCGAGTCCAGCAAGCTTCTGAAGTACTCCCCGCGTCTGCAAGAGCTCGAGCGCACCAATACAGAAACCACAATCGTATTTCTGTCTGATGTGCGTCTGGATCTGCCAGTGGTCACCGACAAGCTGCGCCAGCTCTTTGTCGGCTACGATTCCTGTCCGCCCCAGGCCATTGTCCTCATGGGACCATTCACGGCCAGCACCCGCAACCATCACGAAATGCGTCAGCATTTGACTGCATTGGGCAAGCTGGCAGCCGGCTGTGAGCAGCTGAAAAAGCAAACGGACTTGATTCTCGTTCCCTCCGCCGAGGATCCAACAGCTCCAAACATTCTGCCGCGGGCTCCGATACCAGAATGCCTGGCAGCGGGCCTGCTCAAGGCCTGGCCGCGCACCCAGCTGGCAACGAATCCCTGCCGGCTTCAGTATTGTACGCAACAGATCGTTGTCTGCCGGCTGGATCTCATGGCAAAGTTTTGCCGCAACACGCTGCACTTTCCCGAGGACACGTCGCAGATTGAGCAGCAATTTGCGCGAACCATTGTGTGTCAGGGACACCTCGTACCCATACATCCCATTGCCATGCCTGTGCATTGGGACTATGACCCGGCCCTGTGGCTCTATCCGCTGCCGGACCTCATAGTCATGGGTGATTCGTGTCAGAGCTTCAGTAGCAGCCAGCATGGCTGCACTGTGCTCAATACCGGCTCCTTCGTCAAGTCCAAGTTTGCCTTCAAAGTTTATATACCAGCAACGCGAACGATTGAGGACTCGGAGATACCGGACGATGTGGAGTAAACACGTATGTAAGTTGAGTTTCTGTTTTAAATATATACCCCGTTTACCTGTACTACCTACCTTTGGGTATTTTTGTTTTGTTTTTTTTTTGAAGATCTCTGGTGGTGGTGTCTACTTTTGGAACAATTAATTTATATATTATAATCCTCACATGTTGCTTGGCCAGCCTGCGCCTCTCGTTGTTTGTTACCACCCATGCGTGTTCCCTTGTTGATAAGGCGGCAAAGCCGGGCATCATCATTACCATCGTCGTCGTCGTCGTTGTCGTCGTCAGTCAGTCATCATATGCGCACAGCATGTGTTCCACAATCGTCTCCTGACTGGGCTGACGCGCCTCGCAATCTGCTTTTTACTACTTGGCCTCGTTGAGCAGGGATGTGGGGGGTTGGGTTGTCTATTATTTTTCATGACTTAAAGCCGATTTGGAAAAATATTGTTACTCTGTTGCAGAGGTTTTTCGTGGTGTGAGCCATTTAGGGTCGTAGAAATTCAATTTCCCAGACATTCACATCCTTCTCTGTGGATCTGCTACTGGTCCTCCTCCTCGTTCTCGTTCTCGGCCAGCTGAAACGGCAATTTTGATAATGCGTTTGACCTGCGGACATCGATTGGCCCCCTCGCACACACGGGTGTCACATGACCAGTTGCCGAATCGTTTTTTAAGACATCATTAGCTGGCGCTGCTGTCACAGATGGGTAGGCGTATGCCTGGGAGGGTTTTTTGTTGCCCGTGCCACATCCCATTGATGTATGATTTATGGCAATAACTTCTGGGAGAGTTGTATGCTCGCATGGCCGGCAGGTTCTTGGGATCAATTTCCTAAAATGTGTCCGCCATGAGTGTCAATCTAATTTAATGGGCGTGGTCTGCTTAGAGTGCTAAAAATGTATCTAAATTGTCTGTTTTGCCGACACGAAATCATGCTCCAGCCTTGGCCATTTATTTTGCTGTCTTTGTGCCACCCCTCCATCGAAGCGAGTTCCACAAATGTTTTTTTTTGTTGCCCTGTGACAACAATCTTGCTTCTGCTTCATTTAACTCGTACACTAGCAACTTTTAAAATTTAAATATTGTTTTGCGGTCTCTGTCTGCAGTTTGGGCTGTGGTTTGCAGTGGAGCAATAACATAAAAGCCATTTTATCTCGGCTGGTCATCAGTTTTTATGGCAGGACACCATTGACACCATTTAATTTGAAGCTTGAAGTCAAGTCGGTCGCCCCAGTGACTCGATTAAAGCATTCGCTGATGCGGAATTCTCAAATCTGTCTTCACGGCTCGGCTGCGTATTTCTGAGCTCATCAATCAATCACTCAGCCAGCACAGTCAGTCAGTTCGACTTTGGTCCAGATGGGCCTTCGAGTGGGCCCTGGTCCAATCAATGATCAAAGCAACTGGCCAACGTATACATTCCACCTTTGGGTGTCCTTTCTGGCACACATGCAATCACAAATTAAACACACAGGAGGAGCATTCATGTGCATGTCCTGTGGTTATTTGACAATTGTTAACCCATCCTCTCTGGTGGTGTTAGCATATCCTTCGTTGATTTTTCAACGCTGCCAAGTGGCCATATGCCAGACGTCCCCGCTGGAAATCCATCCAGTAATCCCTGCCTTTGGTGGTGTGACTTTCTTTGAGGTATACGATTTTTCACTGGGGTGGTTTTAATCGTTGCGGAGTATAGCGGAGAAAGAGTATTCTGAAGCGATTATGTATGCTTTAGCTTGAGGTTTTTGTTGGAAGAATATGGATTTATGGGAATTTCTGCTTAGATTTAAATGTTTATTCGATAGAACAATAGGGAAGTGATAAACCTGGACCGATCTTAGATTTATTTATTCATAAGAATAAACTATCATTTTAAGGGTATTTCTTATACATACATATATAATATAAGGAGACTCTCTCCCCTGGATCATTTTCAGCGCATATGGTCAAAGGTTTGGTCGGGCACTTTGAAACCACAACATCAACTGGAAAATCAAAAGCTCGCCTTTGTTTAAGGGGCGATGCCAAGTCTTTTGTTGTGCAGCCATTGATACTTCCAAAGGGTTTATTAACTTTTTATGAACTGCACAATGAGCTGCAACCCGCTCAAAATTTGATGGGGTTATCATTCCACAATGTTGACATACTAAAACAGTGAATGTGAGAACGAGTTGGGACACTGTAAAATCGCTTCATAAACTCCACTTGGCAGTGGCAGTGGCTCTGAAAGTGGCAGTGTGGCAACAATGTATCAGCTTAAGCCCCGGACGTGCCGCCGGACGTGTGCCAACATTTACGCCTCAATTATCAACCGCAGAGGGGTCAACACTCTGGGGGTCAGCTCATCACTTGCCATCATCAGACCAGTATAAGTAGAGTCGATAATTTGCTGGCCATAAGCTGCTCCCACACATGTCGGTCGTTCGACCACCCAGCCAGCCAGCCAGTGGCCAGGGCAGAGTCATCCCGATTGAGTCCCAAGTCAAGCCAAACCAATCCAATCCTCTCCACACGAGCCGCCCCGACACGTGCCGCCCATTAATTTACGCGTTGGCTTTATCTGCGATTTGCTTGCGCATTCTCAGCCAGGCCTGTGACTCCTGCTAAGGTCCTGCCACGTGCCAAAGTTGGCAAATCAAATGTTTTTATTATTTAAAGCGACAAACGCGACGCCGTTTTATTGTCTTCCTTGAGTCGATAACAACTGAGCCGCAACACTGCGCGACAACACGCCAGGACAAATTACAGCCTCAGCCACATCCTGACCGCCATTGTCCTCGAAATGGCTAACGAATAGCACCTTGGGGACCATCACGCGGCAACGGTGCGTCTTTTGTGTGTCGTCTTAATGGAAGCAACTGGCATGTGATAAATTTTAATTGATTTCATTTACGTCTGCTGCTTCCTTTGTCCGTGGCTCTCCAGATAAGAAGAGAGCCGCGGCCGACTCAGCGCCGCTCATTAGCCCAGGATAATTCATCGAGATAAGTCCTGAAATGTTTGACATAATTGAATTTTGTGTGTTTTTAAGCTGGTTCTTCTAATGATCCTAATGAGATTTGGACTATTACTAAGTATTTAATTATTGCTGGG